GACAATTAAACCTGCCATAACCATTTTTCATATGTCACAGAACTGCTTGTGTGTGAAAGCTGTCTCTCATGGAAATGAACGCAGAGTGAATTATCACCCAATTCTCCATCTCCCCTCAACTTGACAAAGAGTTTTGAAGTTCCAGCTCATTATATTGGTTTTACGGCCCATAACTAATGTTTTGCTTCAGTCTTACCATTGTAGATGCAGCAGATGCCAGCTGGGTTTTTTTGTGTGTGAAAAAAGCTCCTCAGTGTACGTTACCTGCCCAGCACCAAACAGCAGACGGACACAGGTAGCGACTATCTGGAGAACACGATGGAGCATTCAGCAGATATTTCCCTCAGGGGTTAGTGCAGCCAAAAGGAGAGCGAGTATTGAACCTAGTCACCCGACTCCGAATGAATGATAATGTTGCTCCATGTCTGCGGGATGTGTAAATTAGCAGTGGTTTGCTTACACCACTTCGCCATTTCATATATTTACTGTATAAAGTGATAATGTGTCAGTGTTGTTTATAGCTCCCTGCGCTTCTTCCAAATTAGCAGAAAAAAATCAGGAAATGTAGATTTAAGGAAAACAAGTGGTGATTAAATGTCCTGCTCTGTTTCTCTGTGGATTTTTTAATTGTCAAAGGGTTACTTCACCCAAGCAATTAAAAAAAAATCATATTTCTACAAACATACTCTGGATTATCACACAATGTCTTTTTTTATTACTTTCAACCAAGTGTAGCTTGAAGGAATTTGTTTACATCGGAGTCTGTGGATCATAGGAAGTGTAATAATGTATGTGTCAGGATCGGATGCCATCGTGTGCGTTTGGAGCCAGTTTGTGCAGAAGGGATAGGGGGATGTAGCCGTGGCAGCGAGGTCACACCAATTCATATGATTGACCAATCGTGAGTGAGTCTCATCTGTCAATCATGACATTTCACCCCATTTTTATAGCATCTAATGACTAATTAAAACTTAGCTTAAAACATATCTAGAAAATAAACACTTGAGCAGACATCGTTGTGATATGAAACTACTTAAAGAGAAAGGGCCATCTTAAAAATGTTTGATGACTACTTTGACTTTGTCTACTTTGACTTTTTAGGAGGCAGGGTTTATGACCTAGCCACCAGGGGGTGATTGAGACACTTTGGCTCCACTTTTGAGGAGCTGTCTTCCTCCTCCATATACAGTCTATGGTCAGGTACATGGATCTAGACTGTGCGATACACACAGAAATAGAACACAACAATATCATAATGAGATTTGCTCAAGATTTTGGATCCAGACAGAGTGAACCTTGGGTTCTCTTCATATTTGTGTAATATTTTGAGTTTCTTCTCATTTAAAACATTATTCTTGAAATATGAGATTTATTTCTACACCCTCATACTCCATTGTAGACTTGAGAGCACATGATGATTTGGTTGAGCAGACCCTTTAAATGTGTGTAGCATCCTAACCCAACCTTCACTGGGCAATGTCATGTAAACATCTTAGACACGTTGCTATGTTGTTGCTGTTTTTTTTAAATATGTCATATAGGTCTTTATTATTAATATTCCAGTCAGTAGCTCCTGTAACAATTGCTTTCATGGAATCATCCATGTGTTTAATTGCTGTGGCTTAATGTGATGACAGTATTATTGATGAGGCAACTTAATTTCAACAGCTGATAAGGCTGGATCATCGGGTGGGGATGAATTGTAATGCAAACTCTGTCACTCCTTCCATTTGTTCATCCTTCAAGAGCAGAATACCCCCTTTTCTGCTTTATTCATACGTCTTCCTCAACCCTTTCTCCTCTTCAGCCAGCACAGTCGTTTTACACCAGTAATCTCTTCACCTTAAGCCGCTCTAAGTCGCCATTAAGCCTCCATTCTCTCATACATAATGATCAAACTCATCAGAGTCCATTTACCTCCAAGGTTTAAGATTTACAAAGGATTACAGGTTAAAAAATCAATTTGCTTGCTCTTGGATGTCAAGTAATCCAGTTTGGAGATAAGTTGGTGCTGCTGCGGTCTAATGGGCCCTGCGCTACATGGTAGCTGGCATCAAATGTGGCCCCCTTGTTGATATTCAAAGGGAGATGTATGCTAATACATATATGACATTATTATCTAAGTTATGCTATTATCCGGTGGGTGGTGAAAAGAAGAGCCCTTGGCCTGCGGTTTCAAACAGCAGTTTAATGGCTTTTGTTACATGCTGAACTTCAAACACCTGTTCCGCACAGAAATATCTACAAAGTGAATAATGTATCGTTGTATTGATGCGTTAACCACAGCCACAGAGCTTCACCTTCACTTTCAACATCCCTCACAGCACAAGACACTTTTCCAGCCGGCAATAAGGTGGATGCAAATCACATCTGACCGTAATCCTGGATCTTTACCAAGTAAATGCATAAAGTTAATTGCCATACAGAAGGGGGGTGGAGTTGGGGTGGGGGGGTTTAATTTGTCCTAATTTTCAGACTGCTGTAGGTTGTTTTATTGTGTATGACAGTGTCCGTGAGGGTATGACTTTTGGAAGGTATAAAGGCCATTTTATTGGAAGGCCATAAATCTCTGCAACCCAGTCTGGACACATTCGGCACCATAGTTATAACAAGCTCTGTGGATTATCTGTGAACTGGGCCTCATATAAAAGGTTTCAAACATTCAGCACAAAGTGGGAGCACAGTCCGAGTTTCCTCAGTCAGCTTATTTCTAAAAGAGGCCGAATAATTAGGAAATAAACCACAACTGTAAGGTTTATATTTATTGCCGTTTTTTTGACAGCAAGAGGTTATTTGAAGACTTCACAGTGTGGTACATAATGACATATTTAATGTGTATCATGCAGGTAAAGATATGTTGTTTTATTAATCACAAAATGTTATATGATGATAAATGTGCACCATACATACAGTAAGATCTCTTTGGCACAATGGATGTGTGACTCAATAACTGTTTTTAGAATTTAAACAATTAATTGATGAACAGATACACAGATCATTAATCAGCAGCTGTTCTAATAAAAGTTTGGAAAACTCTACTTGCTACAAACTTAAATTTTGAGGATTTGCTACCTTACTGTGCATCGTTAATAGATAATATTTGAATTTTGGACGTTTAGCTAAACAAAATAAGATGGTTAGAGATGTTGTTTTAACCTTTGAGGAACTGATGGGCATTTTCCACCGTTCAGTATTTTACAGGCAAAATGAAATCATTATTTACAACCCTATAACACGATGTATGTAATAAAAAGCTCATATCATAACTGGAGCCTGACCAATATACAGTTGGCAGATAAAAATTAGCCAATAGGAGCCTTTCCCAGATACTGCATATTGGTATTTATGTTTACCAGTATAAAACATATAATTGGTTGTATTTTTGTTTTCTCCATAGATATTTATAATAAAGTTTATGGTTTAACTGTATCAGTACATATTAGTATATATATTAAATATATTGGGTGATATATCGGAAATGTTTTATTCATTCATATTGATTTATCTGCATCAGCCACAAAAAAATCCATATCAATCCCTCTCTAATCAACAGGGGTTTCTGGATGTACCTTCAACAAAAAAAAGGATTTATCATTAGTTTTCATTGGCTGTGGAATGAAGAGACTCAGATAGTGAGTTGCCTATATTCAGTATGGAATGATTGAAGACCAGCGTGTTGTATTAATGAATCAGAGTGTTAATGTGTTTTATGTCGTTGTACCAGTGAAGTATATCAGTTAAAACAGTCTAAATCATTTCTGCCTTTAAAAGGAAAAAACGCAATGTCCTTGTAATTGTTTTCAAGCCAAATGATGGAGTGGGTTGTACACAAATCACCTGCAAGTGCCTCATGTATGCACGCAGCATGTGTATGTGTCAAAGTTCAGTGTCACTGAAGCAATTATTTTTTATGAGCGGGCAGGCAGACTTTTATCTGGCAGATGCGAGCAGGACTGACTTTGATTCGAGCGAAAGCCTGGAACATGATTTCTGTTTTGAAAGCAGGCGAGTGAGATTTTTAAAGAACAAGTTATCATCTCTTGTTTGTATGATGAAGTTCTCACTTGTTAACAGAGAATGTTACCCCCAACACTCATAAGACTTGATAATTAGAAGATGTGTGTATGAAAAGTTGAACACAATGCCCAGGCAAGTTTCCCCAGAGAGCTGTATGATCTGCAGGTTTTATGATTGCAGAGTGCAGGCAGTGCACAGCTTTAAAGATTAATTTGTGTGAAGGGTGGAGGGCACAAGGTGAACAAGTGTTTTTGTGTAAGAGTTTTAAAAATTCATATAAAAGACGACTCTTGGCAGAGGAAATCCTTCTTTTGGACTAAAGTTATCGTAACACTTGCACTTCTTCTTATTTTATTGCCTCACATGGAAAATAGGATATGCAAGTAAACAGGATGCATAAACATATGACTTTGATTTAGAGTCTGATATTTGGTCTTCAAAATAAACAGATGGAAAAAGAAATGACCACATCCAGTTGTTCATTAATATCTGGAGTAATTTATAAGACATCTGGAAATCTACAGCTTGTCATGTTTATTAAGTAAAAGCCTGTGCATTGTAAACCACACAGGACTAAGACACTTTTTACGATCTCTTCAAAGAAGGTGTCCGTGATATTTACGAGCTCTATATTTCTGTGCCTGGAGTGAGTTATTGTGTTGACTTATTTAATAATTTACTCATAGCTCACCAGTGGTAGCATTTGCCGGTCGTCGACGGAATCTTAAAAATCATTACATCTACATACGTTACTGGCGTATCCTCCCAGAACATGCGCAAGGTTTTGCTTTACAATAAACGTGGGCAGAGGGTTGACATGCGTCAGAGTTTAGTTGGGGTTTTAATGAAGCCGTGTCTGTCAGGGAGTCGACGGCTCAGCTCCTTTTGTTTCTGACACTTCATTGCTGCTGTTTTCTTTATTTTTAACCTGATGACGCACTCCTTCAAAGCCAGTAATCTGTTTGATGTATCTGTTTTTGTAGGTGATCCTCATGTTGACGAAATACTATGACTTCAACACCGGCAGAGTAACAGAGAGTTCTTTGTGGAGGTAAGATCGCCTGTCTGCTATTAATCTGGGAGCATTGAAGCCTCTGAACCATGTTTATCTCTCAAAACACACACTGAACAGTGTTTTAACAGCTTGTTGATATTTCCTAATTACTCTCAGATATTTATTCATGTAAGAATTGTCCCATATTATCTATTTGTATAGTCACAGCTTCTTCATAGGTTTTGCAACAGGGAGTTAGATTATATCGTCACAGATATACTGCATCTAGGACAATATATTGAACGTCTCTTTGTCATTACGTGATATTTTGGGAAGACGAAAACAAAATCTTATTATGTCCCAACATACATCGGTTTATTTGAAGCACCTAGTTATACCAATTATTGTTAATTAATTGTAAACGGCCTGTATATAGTGCTTTTCTAGTCATATTGACCACTTAAAGGTTCAGTTTGTAGAATTTAGTGAGATCTAGTGGTGAAGTTGCAAGTTGCAGCTTAATACCCCTCACCTCAGCCTCCCCTTCCAAACATGAGAGAGAACCTGTGGTTGGAGTGCAGTATCTTGCATCAAACAGGAAGAGCACGGGATCAAACCACCAATCCTCTGCTCCTCCGTCCTGCGTCCATCCACGAAGTAAAACCAATGTCATCGATATATAAGAGTTAAATAAAGACTAATGGCTGAATATTTTACAAATGCTTTTAACAAATTAAAGAATAAAGATCCCATAAAAATATCCAGGAAACTGCAAATGTGTTTTATACAGTGCAGTATAAAGCAGTGCATTGATACTCACTCCTGAAA